TTCAAATATTTGTCTCCATCAAAATTCGATCTTCATTAAATTTTTTAAAATTTTGAAAATCCGCGAAATTTTTTGTGAAAATCCGCGAATTATTTTTGTTTTGTTTTACGATGTACACAAAGAGAACATGTTCACAATTAATTTAGAAGATGGGCCCGAAGCGTTCTCTAAGGCTAGTATATGTATACTTTGCTTGTCTGTCTGTCTGTTAGTCTGTTAGTATCCAATAAGTGTCAAAACGGCTGAGCCGATTATTAAATCTGCAAACTTTTTTGTTATTGTTTTATATTGTAGAAGCTGAAAGGCCCGGTGTTTAGTTTCATAGTTTGAAAAAGTGTATGTATACAACGTCGGATTTCAAAGATATAAGGATCGGAAAATCAGAGTTTGTTGCAAAAACTCAGTTCTTTTGACTTTATTCCTTTTGGGGGGAAGTGACTGTTTTCTTCCGCCCTATGATTTTGTCCTTAGAGTTGAGAGAGATGAGTTACTATAGGGGAGTATATCTCATGTTCCTAGTCCAACTTTTCAAGGACAGCTCATCAAAAAAATAGACCTATGCAAGTGAAGCTCAACTCAAGAGTTTAGGGTAGAATTGGCCGGGTTAGTAAAAACCGATCGACTTGGGTTTTCAACTCTTGAAGGCTCAAGTCTCATAAGGTTGAAGATGGTAAATTTTGTAATACTATCATATTTGTACATTTTAAATTATCTTTAGTTTTAAAATTAGCTTGATTTATAAAATGAACACACTATGGAATACGTTTCATATGTACGGTTTGAGTTTTCGAAATTTACACTGAGCCTATCCAATAGATCTATCTACAGGGTGTCCCAATAAACATGGGAATTTAGTGACTAATTCGATATCGTATTTTTAAATAATTCTTTAATTTAGTATAGTGATACCTACTGTGAAAGCTGTAATCTGTAAGATTTTCCGTATGATTTTCGTCTGCTACGTTTACAATTTTTTTTATGTTTTACTGCATAAGGTTGTACTTAGTAAAACAAGAAAATTGCAGTATACAAACAGAGTAAACTTTTCCGTCTTCACTGTTCATCTTGCGGAGACATTATAAACACATCTTTACAGCCATTTACTGTTTTCATAAAATAAACTCTAGCAGACATAATAATGTTATGGCTTTTGAAATTATGTATTACAATGCTAATTCATATCAAAGACGATTTCGAATTCGTCACTGAATTCCCATGTTTATTGGGACACCCTGTATCATCTGATTTGCAACCGTTTTGCATACAGAGCTCTCTCATTGGTCAACTCAGAACCAATTAGAATCATTTGGTCTAATTGTAGACCCAAGGGAAGTCCTGCGCGTAAAGAAAGCTCAAGATTGGGTTTTTTTTAATCTCAGCTCAGGATTATAAGATTACAAAAAATGTTTTAAATCCCAGGACTCAGACTTTTATCTACGGTTGATCAACAGTAAAAATATTGCTTACAGTGAGAACAGGAAAACTCTGAAATAGAAAATCAACATTTATGACTTTAAATAATCCCATGAACACGAGACACAGCAATTGTGCAGTGTATTAAAGATTCATTTAACTTAAACTGTGATTTAATTACTTTGAAATCCTGCTTTGCTTCGAAGACGGTGATATGACTATAAAGTATAGAGTAAGTTTATCTATTTTTTAATTTAAAGATTGTTTGTTATTACAGAGGATATTAGTTCCGAAACTAACACTTGGCCCATTTCTAATACTGAGTGTTAGAAATGGGCCAAATCTGCAAAGTTATCTTTTTCAAGAGTATATATCTTTAAATCCAAGACAAGTGGAACAAAATTACACCATATATTTATTATTGAAAGAATAAATGTCAATTTTAAACTAATAATAAGGTGTGAGAGTTAGTTTTTGATGACTATTGTTTTCATTTTCGAACATGTTCCTATTTTGAAACAGTCTGACATGGAATCTATTTTCATATAAATTATCTATGAAATATTCTGGTCATAGGAATCTATTATGTGAAATTTTCAAATATTATCAAAATTAAATGCTTTTTTCTTTCTCGGATACTAGCCGAACACTGATACATCTATTCTTGTTTAAAAATTCCGCCCAGAGAGAATTGGTTTCAATATGTACGCCGAGTATACGCGACCACATTTAACTTTCCTTGCATTAGTACCAATTGGTCCACAGTCTACACTATCCACACAGTCCTTAATTTTCTGTAGTAGTAGAGTATAAATCCAGGTTATTGTTTACACAGATTGAGAACAAAAAGGTGTTTAGTGTACATTCAGTTCTAGTTTTCAGGATTGCCAAACTTCTCGAATGTGGTTTGAAAAAAATATAAATGGCTGTGAAACAAATCTGGTGGCTTTATGGCTGTAAAGTGGCTGTGAACCAAACTTTAAAAAATATCCCTAATCTATCAGCTATATAGTATTTAAGTCTGTATGTTGCAGTTTAAGAAAAACGTATGAAATTTTTTTTTTTTCGATAAAAGCTATAGTTTCAAATTCAA